ATTTTATCAAATAACCTACCTCATCTCTTCGCTAGAAATCTATCCGTGGACACACGGAACTCCAATTGGCTCCCCAGTTTTAGGTTCAGTGGCAGAAATGGTCCTATAAGAGCTGGAAAAAAAGACTTCCTGCATCAAGCAGTAGCCGATCTGTCAGCACTGTTACGTCAACCATACTTTTGTTACCGTCAGGAAGAACATGCTACAGAATCGCCCTAATTTGCTCAACTCAATTTCCCGGAAGAAAAGGAGCGGCAGTTGTTCTTCTTTGACGTGCTCGTCAAGCGAATTCCCGACGGTGAAGTAGGGACAATCGTCCTTAGGAGGGCAGCTAACACCATACAGCCTCACAGTTGCCACAGCAACTATCCAGTGGCTCACAGACATACCTGTATGAGAACACTCTTCGTCGTCGCTGTCGACTAACCAACCCTGGCGTTGGCGACATGCACGACTAAGGACGACCATGGCGTGGAAGTGGATGGCATTCCGGAGTTTACCTTTCTTTCAGGCGATTAGTTAGTCGATTGTCGAAATCTAAGTAGCGGGCAGACACATTAAACAGAACGGTACTTAGTTTACCGGGTAGTCGCTAACCGGGTAGTTTTCTACAACTATTCAGTCGATGACGGTGATGAGACGGTGATCCGTCAAGGCGTTGGCATCGCAGATCGTCTTGGTCACCCGAATTCCTTGTCGATCCCGCTTAGGGGTGAGAACATTGACCACTAGCTGCCAGCGCCACGATCGGGGGTGGATCCAGGTTGCCTCCTCGCCCGTCGGGAGGCGGAAGATGTTACTGAGGAGAAGAAGCCGCCGATGGCGGATTTTCCGCGTAGGTCCGAAGAAGGAGGCTGTCGTCGTTGCAGTCCCTGATTCCGTTGGGACCCAGGATTCTTCCCCAGACAGCGTGGTCTCTGCCAACACGGACACTGTAGTCACCAAGGGCATTCAGCTTATCCGCCTTCTGGACAGTCGCCAGGAGGACTTCGGGCCTTTGTAGAATCTGTTCTTCGCTTCTTCAGA